GTTGTAATGTGACAAAATATGGAAAAGTTCAAGGGGTATGAATACTTTTGCAAACCACTGTATAAACAGTGCTTTATCATTAAATAAGTCCTTTACTTTGTATAATACTGCAATGGATTTGGTTATTTTTGGTCTTAAATGATTTATGTGAGATTTCCACGTCAGCTTTTCATCAACAACACCCACAAACTCCACCTCACTGACTCTACAGATCTCAATTTCTCTCAGATTCTCAACATTTTTATATTAAATGAAATAATAATAAAAAAAAGAATAACTTTTTTTTGACAGGGGGTCGGATCTCCATACGGCCGGTGGGCCACCAGCTGAATATCCTAGAACTAAAGCTTCAATATTTTCCTGTTGTTTCACTGTTGGACTCACCCTGCAAGCCAGACCAGCTTCGTAGAAAGCCTTGTCTGCAGGAATGAGCTCGGTGTGACGCAGCAGAGACACCGACAGCTTGGCTGCGACGCTCGCCTGAAAACACGCAAGAAGAAACCTTGTGTCGTATTTACGTAGGGCGGCGGAAAATTCCAGCTTCGGTCTGAGTTTTTGTTAATCTACCAGCTGTTCGGCGCCTTTTGCAGCAGATCTCGTGGCGAAGTAGTGAGCGATCAGCAGCATCTGTTCGAAGTCTTCACGGGCCGGAGAGTTGGCCTCGGCTGACCTGGACAAGTTCTCACACTGAAACAGAAAAACAGAAGAGGCTCAGAGTCAAACACTACTGTACTGTACGGAGCCCGCGAGGGGACATGGGGGAGTTTTTTCTTTTGCGTTACCTCACAATACTTTTGCGTTCCCACACAAAAGAATGATTTGTAAATGAACTGAATTAAATCAGACTTTTATTTTGAAATATCCAGTTACCAAAACAGGATGTGTCGCCACAAGTTTGTGAAATTGACACTGATGTTGCATGGCTGAACTGTGTTAAAATATCGGCATATGACATACTTCCATGTGTGTTTGTGTGATATTTTCATTCTGAAGCTGAATTAAAGCAGTAGGCTAACTCGCTAATGGTGAACATGTGAGTTTGTTAATAAACCGGCAGGCACAACAGTGTTTAACGTCTTTTGCGAGGTAACGTAAAAAGAAAAAAAAAACCATATCGCCTCGTGTCCTCAAAGTATTGCGTTACCTCGTAATATCTTTTGCGTTCCCTCGCAAAAGTCCTTTATCACTGTTGTACCTAACGGTTTATTAACAAACTCACATGCTCACCATTAGAGAGTTAGCCTACTGCTTTAATTCAGCTTCAGAATGAATTTATCACACAGCCACGCATGGAAGTGTGTCATATGTCAATATTTAAATACAGTACTGCCACACAACATCAATGTCAATTTCAAGAACTTGTGGCGACACATCCTGTTTTGGTAACCGGATATTTCAAAATAAAAGTCTGATTTAATACAGTTCATATACAAATGAAACTTTTGCGTGGGAACGCAAAACAATATTGCGAGGTAACGCAAAAGTATTGCGAGGTAACGCAAAACAATATTGCGAGGTAACGCAAAAGTATTGCGAGGTAACGCAAAAGTATTGTGAGGTAACGCAAGAGTATTGCGAGGTAACGCAAAAGTATTGCGAGGT